AGGCTACCCCCACGCAGGGGATGGCACTCACACAGTTAACCTTCTAAACTTCTCACACTGACACAGTGAACAACATCTTCGAGCAAGTAGGGCATGTCCTTTGCACCCCCGGATGTAGAACTGCTGAGTCTCTTAGCGAAACTTCTAGACTCCCCAAGTTGACACAGTGTATCAACCATAACAACATGTGTGGATTTGAATGACCATCACCACAATTGGAGTATAGTAATACTGTTCACTTATCCCAAAGAGACTCGTTCTACTTGTCTCCTATGAAGGCTGTAAGACACAGTCTCCCCACCAAACCTAACCCCTAACAAACTTTGGTCTGTTCTTTAATCTTATCACTTTCAGAAAATTATATAAGTAGAATAACACCACAGGCATCTTTTTGAGATTGGCCTTTTCACCCAGCATAATGCCTTGGAGGTCCATTCAAGTGTGTTCTTTTGTATTGCTGAGTAGTAGTTCACTATATGGATGTACTGCAGCTTGTTTATCCACCCACATTAAGAATGTGAATTGTTTCTATTTTGAGACTATTATAAACACCCTATAAACATTCACGTGTAGGTTTTTGTAGAAATGTATGTTTTTATATTTCTAGGATAAACACTCAGAAGAACTATGGTTAGGCTGGGTCACATGGTAAATGCATGTTTAATTTTCTAAGAAATCTATCAGATTGTTTTCAGTGTGTCTGTACTACTTTACACTCCTACCGGCAGTGTATGAGAGATCCTGGTGCCACATATCCGTTAGCACTCTAATTTTTGGAAAAACTTCCTGAGCAATATTACTGCCACTTCACTCCCTCTGTACAAAGCACAGGTGCCTGGCTGAGAAATAAATTGAAGAAGTGACCTTGGCATCCAACGTCTATGTATGCATTATTACTGCTTAAGCTGTGAACATTTCTAAGAATAACCTATGGTTCCTAGTCTTTGCACTAAACAATGCTAATTTATTTGAGTTTTCCAAAGTTGACTCTGATGAACATGTGAAGATGTTAAGCTTTTAAAACAGGTATTAATACTCTCAACTTTTTTTCACAGACATCAATGGGTACAGTTTTAGAAGCTTTTTTGTAAACTGGTACTTTGGCTCAGTAGATGGTTTTATGAATGAATGATTTACAAAAGATATGAGACAGCAGACAGGACATCGTGGGGCATCAGTGTTTTGCTGTAAACTCCAATTTGGTTGTACTTGGAATTTTGTGGAGTTGAAAAACTTTTGCTGTGTTTGTATCTTATCTGAAGTCTGTTCTTTGAGAAATTGCATCTGCTACTTTACTGCATCCAAGAAAATTCTCACCTCTATTTTTATTTTTATTTTTATTGGTTCTAGGAATTGAACTCAGGACCTTGCGCCTGCCAGGCAGGTGCTGTGTCACTGAGCTATATCCCCAGTCCTCCATTTCTATTTTTAGAATTCATCCGTGGACTGGTACATTTCCCAAAACTCAAATTGCATGTAATCTCAATTCTGATCAGAAAGTAACAACTGCGAATTGAAACTGAAATCAAGTTGAAGAAAAACACAATATTTTAAAATTATTTTTACCAAAAAGTAGGTTTTCACTACCTCAGTTTTGAGATTAAAATGATATTAAATGATTCAGATGGGAAATGCATCACACAATTATGTATTATAAACCCCTATAACTAAATACCCCAGAATAATTTCGTATATATCACTAACATATTTTAATTAGGGAATAATTTGGTTTTTTAGTTGACGAAATACATTCTAGTGTTTGGATTCATATTTTGAGGAATTTTTTTAAGAGCAGGAAGAATTTATTGAAAACAAGAAAGCTTCTGTCTAAGAGAAACAGAAGAGGCCTCAGGAAGGAATATTATTTTTAAAACTAAGAAATAAAATACAGAACACAGCCTAGCGGTAGTTTACTAAAAACAGCCATGTTACATCAAGAAAAATTATAATGATACAACATAATTCATGCATTTTGTGATAACTTATCAATCTCATATAAAATAATACTATAGCATATGCTATATGCTAAGGTAATAGATGCAATTTCTCAAGTGTATTACTCCACTTGTTATAATATGTTCTTATATTTTTCTGTTTTTCTATCTTCCTGCCAGTAGCTAATGATTACACCAGTTATCATAGTTTCATCATTGTTAAAGTCTAATAGCAATTCCCCGACCCATTCACCATTTTCCAGAAGTGTCTCAACTATGCTTGACTCTTCGCTACTCTGCTTGAACTTCAGGCTTGCTAAATAAAAATCCTGTTAGGATTTTAACTGGAATTAAACTAAATTTATAGATTAATTTGAGAAGGATGGATATTTCTACATTTGGTTGCTCTACCATGAACTTGGTACAACGTCTCCATTTATTTAGCTTTTTGTTGTCGTTGCACTTTAGTTTCTAGTAGTCCTGAATTATCTAGAATGTTTTCTTTCTTGTTTTTTGACTGCCCTTCACTGCTGCCTGGCAAATTTTCAGTTAATCTTGAAGTGTCAGCTCATATGCCATTGCCTTTGTGAAGCCTGCCTCCACTGCTTGGGGCAGACCTGGAGTCTGTAGACCCTCTTCCAAGGCCCCTGCCACTCACAGTATGTTGTATATAATTGCAAGAGCAAATCTTTACTGATTGTTGACTAAATACCAGAGCACTGTTCAGCATTCTCTGAACAGTAATACTTCATATAGTCTTCAAAGCAATCATTTGAAATCAAAGTTGGTGCTATTCTCTCCAGTTATGAGAAAAAGAGATTAGAGAGAGCGATTTGCCTCAGGCAAAGGTATGGATCCAGGCAGTCTAGTTCTAAAGCAGGTGCTCTTTGTTATACCTCCCTTAAAGCAGTTGTGTTATATATTGAAATGGTTTATTTGTGCTTATGTATACATCCGAGGAAATGTATACATCAGAGGAAATGTTTTAAGTGCATACCTCCAATCAGGCACAGCAAAAGATGCTGGCTGGAATATAATATAAATAAAATCGACATTAAATGAAAATCACACCAACACATATATGACTATAAATTGTGCTAAAATATCCTGGGAGAATGAAGGTGGGTAGCTAAGGGTTATACAAATTCAAATTACAAAAGAAGCTAAGGCTGGTGATGCACGCTTGTAATCCCAGCACATCGGAGGCTCAGGCAGGAGGATCGCAGTGTTTGAGCCCAGCCTGGGCTACATAGTGAGACCCAGTCAAAAAAAAAAAATTACTGAAGAAGAGGATACACAAAAAAGAAAACTACAGGAGGGGGTTGAGACATTGTGTGTATCCTTGGGTGCAGGTTACAGAAAAAGCCATGAAGTTGAGTTAAGATGTGTTGAGTTTTACGGTGTGAGACACAAACAGGCTGTGAAATATAGTTGTCCCTCCCTGTGGAGCTGGTAATATAGGAGACATATAACTCCCAACCTGTCAGGTATCAAATGTGCCAAGTTCGTAGTCCCACAACAATGAGCAATGAAGTCTTGAACCAAAGGAAGAAGTTAGGAGAGTTTTATTGGAAATAAGGAAAGAGGAATAGCTCCTGGGTTTCCGGGAGGGGTCTTGAATGAGGTATCTACTGAGGCCCTTCGTTGACGTAATTTACACAGCAAAGTCACAAGGAGGGTACAACATGGGTCAAACTACAGGTATAGCTGCTTGGCTAGTATTGATCCAATAGGGAAGCAGGTCACACAGCAAGGGTACATGGGAAGAACAAAGGGATTTTTGGGAAAGGATGGGTCTGGGTGCTCTGGTCACCCATCTGGGTGACTGATGGACTTCCTGGGCTGACTGGTGCCAATTATAATCTCAAGTGATTGTTTATCCCTCAGGGAGCATGGCCATTACATCTCTTTCTTGAGGCCTGATCTTCTTCAGTGCACCTCCAGCCACAATTCTGATGTCTATATTTTCCCCGCTGATTTCCTTGAGGGTCCAGCCCACCTCTGACTGTATATTAATTTCTGACTTAGTTGTCTGTAATAGTGGTGGTGGTGGTGGGGTTATTGGTTCCAGGACTCCCAGGAGTACCAAAATCTGTGGGTGTTCAGGTCCCTTATATAATGCCGTTTTACATATAACCTAAGCAGTCCCCCCTACACTTAATCCTTAGGTTACTTGTAATACCAAATACAAAATAAATGCCATGTAAATAGTTACACTTTATTGTCTAAGGGATAATTGTGTAAGGAGGAAAAAAGCCTGTATGTGTTCAGTGCAAAAGTAGGCCTAACTGCATGATACACGTCTAACATGCGAGGCCTCACTGCACGATACACGTCAGCAACAAGGTAACATTCTGATGGGCAGGAGGGCTGACTGTGGAAATCTGGGATGCGGGCATGCGGCATATAATCACTAAGAAGCAGGCTGTGGTCACACCACGGGTATGGGCAAGACTTCTCGAAATACAGTTGCGAAATCAGACAGAAGACAAGGGAAAAAAGAAGAAAGTAATAGCGGTGGCAGTGTCTCCACACCCTTCTGTCTCTAGCGCCCCACATAGGGCTCAGCAGGGAACAGGTGCTCGGTGCAGTTTGGGCTGCACGAACAGTGGCCGCCAAATGAATGAATGAACGACTCTCCCCGTGTAGCCTCGGTCATGTCCCTCCCTTCCTCTGTAGGCTCCTGTTCCCCTCCTTGGAAAGGCCACAGCGGCGAGGTTTGAGCCTGCAGCAGCGAGGGCGGCCGCGGAGGCGCCAAGAACGCAGCCGGGAGGGGCCGGGCTGCGCGCGAGTCCGCGGGAGGCGAGAGCCGTCCAGACCCGGGGGACGGCGGCGTCACCTCGCTCGCGTCCGCGGAGGAGCGCGCCCCGGGCTGCTGGGCGGGAGGGCGAGCGCGGGGAAGGAGCGCCGAGTTTGGAATAAGGCGAAAGTGGCGGAGAAGCCACATCAGCCCGGGGAAGAGGAGACGGCGGTCTGGCAGGCGCGGAGCGCTGGCTGTCACCGCTTCTTCGAGGGACCTCCCAGGGGCCGGGGTGGGACGGGGCAGCAGTGAGGGGATGAAGAGAAGAGAGGTTCGGGACATGGAACTGACACCCCCAGAGGCCGGTGGACACTTTCACCCGGGACGCTTCCAGAGCTGGCGAGAGAGCAGGTGAGGATAAGGGTGGGGTCCGCACGCCAAAGCTGGCACAACGCGGGACCCCCGGAGGGCGCCCGTGTCCCGGGGATCTGGGGAGAGGCTTGCAGAGCCGTGAGGGGCCGGCGGTCCAAGCAGCCCCCAGGGGGCTGGCGCGCAGCTTCGGAGCCCTCAAATGCCTCCCTTCGCCGCGGGGTGGCGGAGTCGGGGGCAGGCGAGTCCCACCGACCCCAGGGGTGGCCCCGCCCCGGGGCCGCGGGGAGGCCCGTCGTGGGGGGCGGAGTTGTCGCCGCCCCCCCGTCCCGTGGGACCGCGGCCGCTTCTTAAATCAGCGGAGTCTCTCGTTGCCCCGCATTCTTGCCCGCTAGTCTCGCTTCCGTGCCATGGCTTCGGCGCTGAGCTATGTCTCCAAGTTCAAGTCCTTCGCGATCTTGTTCGTCAGCCCGCTCCTGCTGCTGCCACTCATCATTCTGATACCCGCCAAGGTCAGTTGCTTCTCTGGGCAGCCCAGTGTCCAGTAACGGGCACGGAACTAGGAGCGCTGAGCTGGAACGCACGGATTTCCTGGCGGGGACAGCTCCCCTGGGGCGCGCGCACTCAGGACCTGCAGGTGCTTAATGGGAGGTGCCCCACGAAGAATCCCGAGGGGCACAGAGACCCGAGAGTGCGCCCACCCTGGGGGCTGCGGATCCCAGGGCTCAAGCACAGAGACCTAGATGCGCACGCAGAGTTTAGCCACACGACCTCAGCCGTAGGCGTAGCCTCTGACTCAGAAACCCGCAGAGTACAGAAACGCAGGCCCTCAGCCCCCGCGATGCCGCTCAGGCCAGCCCTTGTCTCTACCTCACTCTTCCCTGAGCGAATGCACTCTTTCCAGCTGTACGTGGCTTCTGACCTCAGTCGGGAGCCTGGAGGAAAAGATCATCACCTGTGTAGATCTTGAGTTCCAACTTCACCACTCTCTGGCCTTTTATGGGCCTCACTTTCCCTATCTACATTTCTTTCTTCCATTTATTTATTTATTTATTTACTTACTTACTTACTTACTTACTTACTTACTTACTTACTTATTTTTTGGGACAGAGTCTCGCTGTGTACTTCTGGCCAGCCTTGAACTCATGGTGATCTTCCTGCCTCAGCCTCCTGAGTGCTGGGATTATAAACGTGCACCACCACCTGGGCTCCTATCTACATTTCTTTCCTTGTCTGTAACTCAGCGAAGCCACGTCTGAGTCAAAATCCTGCCCCAGGCTGAATGGCAGGAAAGGGTTGATCTGCTTTGCCCACTGCCTGCTGTGGCTGTGGCAGGAGGAGGAGCATATTCCCGGAGCTCACGCCTTGGGTGGCATGGCCCAGAGCTGCAGGGAAGCTGTGTCCCATGCCCCGGCCTCTCAGCCCTGCTGGGAGGGGGAGAGAGAATGAATGGCCTTGGCCACAGGGCGGGGGTGGGCTGGGCGCCCTGGCCCAGACTTGGTTGTACTGCACACAGCCTGTCTGGCAGAAGCCCGAGCCCTTTGAAGCCTTTTGTGGCTGCTGGCTGCTCCTTCCTCCTTCCCTCTTTTAGCCCTTTCACTCTCAGCCCAGACAGGAAACCTCGGGCTCCCTCCTGGCCCCCCAGACAGGTTTGGGAAACAGAGGAGCCCTTGAGGGCATGCTCTGGAGCAGTGCTGCGGAGGGATGCCCTGGGGTGTGGGAAAGCCAACCTGAAAAGAAAACTGACTTCCACCGTCCACTCAAGCCTGTGACCTGCACCAAGCCCCTGTGCTCTCTGGACCTTGGTACAGTGGGGTGGTCTGGGAGTCAGAAGGGATGATGACGGTTCCTAAGACGCAACAGGAGAAGACTAGGAAGAACCCTTGGGTGAACAGAGCAGAGGCTCTAGATCCCAGAGTGGCGCGGCTCCTCACATGCCGCACCATCAGTGAGCAGCGGATGTTCTTTTGGAGAAAGCTATTTGGGGCCATTACTGTCCGTGGCAGGGAGCCAGGCAGGAGAGCTGTGCTTTGGTTCTGCTGGCAGGGAGAGATGTTCCCTGGAATAATTACAGCCCTCGGCTGACCTGCCTGCTCCAGGGCAGTGTAAGTGAGACCCTGCACCCACTTGGCACACTCACACATGCACAGGTGAGTCCTGAGCTGGAAGCTCAACTCAGGTGTATGTGTGTGTGTGGGTGGGGGGGTCACTAAGCTAGTAGGGGCAGGCAGAGGAGAGTCCTTCCAGAGGCTGCCTTTTTCTCCAGCAGGGCTGACTGCCTGGGAGCCGGGGTCCCTGGCGCCTTAGTTTCTTCCTCTGTGCTTCTTTTTTGTGACCCTTAAAGACCTCCCTGATCCCATCCTCCACCACATTCCCCAAGGAAATTGAGCAAGGAAATCCAGAGGTCCAGCACACACGTGGGCAGGGGTGAGGATGTTGGTTGGGCCTAGGCAGATGGGAAGCATTGTCTCTGCCCAGTGATGACTTGCAGGACATAATGACCTCTGCCACCACCTGCCCTCTCTCCAGGCTTTCTTCTTTCCTTCCTCTCTTCCACCTTGCTTGCTTCTTGGTCTCATCTCTGCTCCAATTATTCTACCTTTTTTGTGGGTCTCCTTTAAAAAAACGTTTTAATAAAATAAGTGATAAATATTTCTTTTTTAGCACATGTGTGTAGTACATAAAGTTTACAGTTCTTTCATTTTTTTTTTTTTTTTTTGGGCCGGGTTTTTGTTTTGCGTTTCGGGTTGGCTTTGACTTCCCTTTTTACCCCGGGTTGGCTTTGACTTCCCGTTGTTCTTCTTGCTTCGGCTTCTTGGTTGTTGGGTTTGCGGGCTTGGTCTCCTTGCCGGGCCAGTTTTCCTTTTTTTGGGGAAATTTGTTTTTTTTCCTTACCCCTTTTTATTTCTTTTTTTATTCCCTTTTCCTTTTCTTCCTTCCCCACCTTTTTTTGTTTCCTTTCTTTTTAAAAATTTTTTTTTTTTTTTATTTTTGTTGTATATTGTTTTTATTCTTCTTGTGTGTTTTTTGTATGTGTATGTGACATCTTTTTTTTTTTTTTCTACCCTGTCCTTCCCTCCCTCGCCCTCCATCTCTTCCCCTTCCCTTTTGAGAAAGATCTACTGTCTCCCTATTATCTATCTTTTATTTTATTCTTTATCTTTTATTTTGTTCATGTAAGAGAAACCATGTGATATTTAAGCTTTTGTGTCTGATTTACTTAACATTATGGTCTCAAGGTGCATCCATTTCCTACAAATGACTCAAGTTTATTCTCCTTTATGGCAGAGTAGTACTCCATTGTGTATAAATACCACCTTTCCTTTACTCATTCGCTTGTTGATGGGTGTATAGGCCACTTCCAAGATTGAGCTATTATGAATTGTGCTGCTGTAAACATGAGTATGCGTGTACCAGTGTAATAGGATGTCTCTAACTCTTTCAGATGCTGAGAAGGGCAGTAGCTGGGTCAACTGTAACTGCTAGTTTCTGATTTGTGAGGAATCTCTATACTGCTTTTGACAGTGGTTGTAGTAGGCTGCATCCTCACCAACAATGTAGAAGGGTTTCTTTCCCCTCTGCAGCCTCTCTAGCATTTATTATTATTTGATTTCTTGATAATGGCCATTCTTTCTGGGGTAGAATGGACTCTCAGGGTAGTTTTAATTTGCATTTCTCTAAAGGCCAGTGATGAGCATTTCTTCGAGTGGTTATTGGCCATTTGTATTTCTTCTGTAAGGTGTCTATTCGTTTCTCTTGCCCTGTTTTTGATTGAGTCTTTTATTTGGGGGATCTCAGTTTTTGTGCTTTCTTTATATATTTTAGATATGAGTTCTCTGTCTGAGGAGACACTGGCAGAAACTTTTTCCCATTTTGTAGGTTGTCTTTTCATTCTGTTGGCAGTTTCTTTTGCTGTTTAATTCTTTCTAGCTTTTTAATTTCATATGATCCTATTTGTTGATTCATCAGACTATTTCATGTGCAACCAGGATTCTGTTCAGAAAATCTTCTCCGGCACCTATGACTTCAGGAGTTTTACCTATATTTTGACTTGTTTTGTTTCGAGATAGGGTCTTACTATGTAGTTCAGCCTACCTTTGAACTCACTTTGTAGTCCAGGCTGGTCTCAAACTTGCAGCAATCCTCCTGCCTCAACCCCCTGAGTGCTGGGGTTATAGGCATGCACCATCACACCTGGCCAAGAGTTTTATCTGTTTTATCTTCCAGCAGGTTAACTGTTATTTTAACATTTAGTTCTTTGATATGCTTTGATTTTAGTGAACAGCCAGTTTTCCTAACACCATTTATTTTATTTTATTCTTTTCAGAGTGTGTGTGTGTGTGTGTGTGTGTGTGTGTGTGTGTATGTTTTGAGACAGTGCAGGCTGGCTTTGAACTCACTATGTAGCCTAGGCTGGTCTGGAATTCACAGCAGTCCTTCTCCTGCCTGTCTCACTCTCCCAGGTTCTGGGATTACAAGCATGTGCCACCACCCCCAGCTTCTAGTGTTCTTTTTTTGTTGTTGACTTTTTGAGAAACTTTTTGAGGGTCTCAATAAGTAGCTCAGGCTGGCCTTAAGCTCACTGTGTAGCACAGGCTAACCTTGAACTAATAGCAATCTTTCTGCCTCAGCCTCCCAAGTACTGTGCTTACAGGCGTGTGTCACCACAGCTGGCTTTTTTAGTGTTATTATCATGAAAGGAGGTTGAACTTTTCTTTTCAAATTTTTCTTTTCAAAGGCTTTTTCTTTATGTATTGAGATGATCACGTGGTCTTTGTCCTTGCTTCTGTTTATGTGATGGACTGCATTTATTGATTTGTGTATGTTGAACCATTCGTGTATCCCTGGGATACTTCATCCTGGCTTTGTCATGGTGTATGTTCTTCTTGATTATTCATTGCATTCTGTTTGCCAGTATCTTGTTGAGGAACTTTGCATCTATACTCATTAGAGGAATTGATCTATAGTTCTCTTTTCTGGTTGGTTCTTGCCTGGTTTTGGAATCAGGGTAATGGTAGGTTCCAGGAATGACCTTGGGTGTACTCCTTCCCTTTCAATTTCATTAAAAAACTTGATGATTGTTGGTGTTAGAACTTCCCTGAAGTTCTTGTAGAATTCAGCTGTGAACTCATCCATACCTGGGTTTTTCTTTGTTGATAGGTTATTTATTACTGCTTCAATTTCATTGCCTGATACTGAATTACTCAGGATTTTTAAATATTCTTGGTTCAGTTCTGGTAATTCATAAGTATTTATCTATAATAATGTTCTTTATTTCCACAGTGTCCATTGTGATTTCACCATTTTTCATTTCTAATTTGTTGATTTGGGTCTTCTCTTTTCTTCTTTTGGTTAGATTGTCTAAGGGGTTGCCTAGTTTTTCTTTCAAAGAATCAACTCCTTGATTGATTGATTCTTTGTACTTTTTTGTCTCAATTTCATTGACTTCTGCTCTGATCTTTATAATTTCTTGCTTTGATATGCTGTGATTTTAGTGAACTAAAATCACTAG